AACAGGTGGGGGAGGGGTGGTCTTGATTGGCACCAAAGCAGCATGGCTCTACTCCTAGAAGTGACACAGAACTTGGCTACCTTTGTACCATGTTTATCATAAGAGCTTCTGAATCAGGCTTCCTCATTTTAAAAATAAAGAGCTCCTCTCTGCATCCTAATTGAAAGTACTCCAAACTTGCCCACTTTCAAGCCTAGTTGTTTCCACCTCTCAAAGAACTAGTATAAGCAAGTCGTAGGCCAAGACAGGCTCAGTTCCACCTGTTCAATCCAAATTCTTGGAATTTGGCCCTGATACACAAGGCCACAAAAATCAAAAGTTACATACATGAGTGTAAAGGGATTTATGTTAAGCAAACAACCCTGGTTGCATACAAGATGGAAGAGAACCCACTCTTCATGCAATCCTAGTTTGGTTGACTCTACAGATGCTAACACAAATAAACAAAAAAACATTTTGTCACTCAAGTCATCAGACACAGCATAGATTAGCACAGCAGATGGACTTGTTGCAACCTGCTGGGTAAAATATGGCACCTTCACTATATACTACCCCTTTTCAAAGGTAGTTTTGAAAACTTTCAGAAGAACAAGGTGTTTATTTGTCACTGTTAGTGGCTTGTGTTCCTGCATTTGCATAGAGTGGTAGCACTGAAGCAACTTTTAAAAGGTGAAAGACATTTATTGAGAAATGGTAAGAAAAATAAGGTATTTTTCCCATCTTCTAAACTTACATTAAATCAACACTAAGAATGAAAGGACATGGGCTTATGTTGGGTTTTTAGACCTGCGCCACAAAAAAGAGGTTTGTGACAAGACTGACATAGCGGGTCAGGTGCACCCATCTGGGAGATCACTCACCTGGAATAGCTGTTAGCTTGCTGTGATCTTGATACGTTTATGTTGTTGAGTTCAGGTACATTCAAGCTGGTGGACTGGTGTTTACTATGACAGTAAGACTGATGTGCTTTGTTTGATATTACTCCATTACTGCAACTACTTTCATAACCTAGAATAATATTTTAGTAATTTGAGTTGGGTACAAGCTGTGAGTTTACATACACGGCACTGAAACAAACATAAAACTGATTTGGTCAAATAAAGGGAATATGTGACTCATCAACTAATTCCACATACCAAGCTTCCATTCATCAGCAGGGACCCTGGTTTTCTGTTTAAGATAGCACATTCTCTGACTAAAAATTCAAAATCCAGGATTAAAATGAAAGGCCACTCTACATATATAGGTATCAAGTGAACACAATGTTTTGTTGCTATACTTACAGTTTTAAAGCAATTTGGAAGCCTACCAGTGCCTCAATCACTATAAAATAAATTCTAAATACCTATATACTCACTCCCCCAGGGTCTCTGCAGCCCAGCAGGCGCAACCCAGACTGGCAGGGAACAGCGAAGCTGCTCAGCGCTGTGAGCTCCATGTTGTCCTGGTGACGCACCTCCTGCGTGCAGGGCTGAAGTGAGAGCAGCAGCGCGGGGCTGTGCCCCTCAGAGCAGTGGCACACACAGGGGGCACACTGCCAGGGCAGCAGGGGGCTTGCAGCAGCAAGGAGATCCCTACGTGGCCCCGCTGTTCCCTACTGCGCAGGGTTGTGCTCACCAGGCTGCAGGGGCCCCGGGGAATGGAAGCAGGGCAGAAGCCCAAGCCTGCAGCTTGTACCTGCCCTGCATACAGATCTGGGGGGGTGTGGGCCTCCCCTACCCCCCTGCCCCGGCAGTGCATGTGGTGGTGGGGAGCCGCACTGCCCAAGCCTGCAGAAGGGAGGAGTGGAGGCAGGGGCCTGCGGATCTGGGTCTGTAGCCCTGGCAGCTGGGGACCCCCTCCGGCAGGGCTGGCCTTTAATTTTAATCATGGATTTTGGGTTTTATTAGAGAATTTGCAATTTTTAATCAAGGAAAACCAGGATCCCTGGTAATCAGTATGTGAAAGGGCTCCTAGGCTTCTGTTTTAGTAATTACTTAAAATTGAATGGAAGATTTCAAGGGCTCAACTTTCCTTAACTTTTTGTAAGACAGCCTAGTCACCATCTAAAGCAGAGGTGTCAAATTAGTTGGGCTCTGTAGGCTGCATTCAGACTATAGGGCTTCCCATGTGTCAGAAGACCCATGAGTGGCAACAGTGAAATTAATTCCAATGGCTGCTGGAGCTACTGTTTTAGCGCAACCTGGAAACCACTGCCACTTGCTCCGCCTTTCTCCTAACACAGATTTTAGGGCACCTATACATGTGCAGTGAGGCTGCTCCAACGTGCTGGCAGACTATTAATCAAGACTGATGGAGCATGGTAATTACCACACTCCAGCAGATTCCAGCATCATGTATATCAGCATCCCCGCACTGAAAAATGATGGCAGGGGCACTTTAACTAAAGCTCGTTCGACACGCTTCAGTTATAATGCCCCCTGCCACCATTTTTCAGCATGGGGACACTGATACAAGTGATGCTCCAGGTGCTCTAATTAAAGCACCCCCCTCCTCCCCCCACACCACTTCCAGAGCACCTGTATAAATATGACTTGTTACCAGGGGTGACTAAACCCCACTGATTTCAGATGAGGCGGGGGGGGGAAGGAGGGAAGACAAGCAGCTTTAACTACTCAAATTCCAGGGCTATCCTGAAACAGTGACTCCAGCAGCCTCTGGGATTAACACCACCACTGCAGGGGCTCCAACAGACGTGAAGATGAGCAGCACAGGCTGATTCCAGCCTCTGGAGGTGGATGGTCCAACCCACAAGAAGCCTCATGGGCTGAAATGTTTGACAACCATGACTGAAAGAGCTGAATGTAGCATGAAGTTTGATTGTCAGCGTACAGAAGTCCATTTACTTCACCCAGCCTGGACACCAGGCTCCTGGCACATCCTATGCATACAGTGCTACTTCCTACCTTAACTAAGCTTTATACACTTGTGTACTCATCCCTATTGTGAATGAGCCACTCAGGAAACAGAGGAAGCCAGGCATGTCACGAGAACATATGGAATGGTTCAGGGGGAGAATGGTTCCTGTCAGTGAGGAAGCCATGCCAGATTTGATTCGCAGCAAAGTCCCATTTGAAGTCATCTCCCAGTGGTCCGCTATTTACTATAAGCTAGAAACTACTCTAATCCTAAAAGGACTTCCCAAACTACTTAGGGTAATCTTCAAGTGACATACACTAAGGGATTAGGCAGTTTCTAAAGCCTAAATCTTGCTTTCACGTGAGGATTACATTTCTATGCTCCATTTCAAGTTGGCAAGCAAATCAAGAACATTCAACTGAGCAATACCGACTAGACTGTAGACTATTAAGGACTCAAGTATTCTAAATTAAAAGGAAATTGTTAACAGGCAAATATGACATTTACATGACCCCTCTGATCACATTCAAAATTGAAGAAAATTCAATACAATGTAGGCCCCCTACTGACTCACCTGAAAAGTGTGTGCTGCTTCCTTTGCTGGTTGCTAAACTGTGAATATTCATTCCATGGCTGGGGCTCATGCTAGGGCTACTAAATGATCGAGGGCTTACAGGGTAACTGTCTTGAGACTTTGGACTGTGGCCTCCCAGACACCGAACTTCACTGTCTGTACCATTTACCATTTCTATAAACTGGCGCACTCTGAACAATGAGACAGAAAAAAAGGTTCTTTAATGTAGACAATGAATTTCAATTTAATTCTATTTCCATTAATTCTTTTTTATACAAAAAAGTTTTCCTAACCAAAAGCTCTAAATATTAACAGTTCAGTCTAGAAGAAATGAGCTTTAAAAGTAGCCAGAATGTAAACTGCAAGAGGGCAAAACTCATTTGCAAGGAGAATGCAGAAGAGCAGGAATTTTACTGGGGGGAGAGGAGAGGGGTGGAGGGGGAAGAATCAGAGATAAGATTTTCCATTTAAATTTTATTGCAATTTATGGGTTTTTCCTCCATTGCTTGGGTTTGCAATGTCTCCTCAGAAGCTTAGCATTTGTCTCAAAAGTAAATGAGATAAAAGGCCCAAATATCTGAAAACAGCAGATATAACATGGCATTAGATAGTCACACTGGTACACAGTTATAAAGTTAAAACACCCAAAGTCAGCTACAAAGCATCCTTTTGGAAGGCTTGGTGGCTAATGATTTAATTATTATATACTTTGGAGCTACTTTTTATAGCTTTAAATGTAGAGAGTTTTTCCTCCATTGCTGTTTGTTCCATTTTACTACAGCTGACTTCAACAATTTAGAAAGACTATCCAATGGAGTATTTAACTGGAGTGTTCCTGACAGTAAGTCTATAGCAAAGTTTCCACATAATTGTTGTCAAACTTACTCTAAATTGTCCAGATTTCATGCAACACTACAGCACAACAGGTTGTAAATTCTACAGTAACTTAGGATACATTTAAATAAGTTATTGAATTAGAGTCAAAGACATTTCTATTTGTTTTTTTTTAATTTAATAACAAATAGGGACCTACTGAATTCATGGCAGAAGTGGGGTGCGCTATGGCTCCTTTAGTCTTGCAGGTTCCCCCATGCCTCCCCCACCACCAATTGGTGGAAGGGGGCCCTGCTTATGACTCATTCCTGATCAGTGGGGAGGCAAAAATGGTGGTTTTAAACATGGCACCGTTTTTGCCTCCTGCCAATGATTGGCTGAGGGGTCCTGGACAGCCCTGTTGTTTGCTGCTAACTGGTGGGGAGACAAAAACAGTGACATAGTTTTAGTTTCCCTGCTGATCAGGAGGGAGTGGCAGGGTCCTGGGCTAATCAGCAGCAAAGGAGGGGAGTGCACACAGAGGAACATGCAAAATTAAAGCAGCCACCACACATTCTACTTCCACCGTGAATTCAGTAGGTCCCTAATAATAAATCTGGAACTTCTGCCACATTGGTGGGCTGTTTCTCAAAAATATATTTTGCTGCTTGCAACCCCAAGAGAAAAACAAAAATTCCCAAAGCAGAGCTCTTTCAGGTTCTCTAGAAACAATACAGCATTAATTTATAATCTAGTTTCTTTTTAGGCCTCTTTTGGACACGGTAAATGATTAACTTCAAAACTTAGATTGTGGAGGATAACTTTACAGCAAGACGTAACACTGTTGTAGAATATACAGAATGTTGGTGACAAGCTACATATTCAAATATGTAGCAGATAAAGCTGCAAAAAGTGAAATAATACCATTTCTAAAAATGCTGCTTATTTTGTTTAAATATGGGTTTCTGGAAGATATGTATGAATAATGACAATTTCTCATGACACTTAGCTATAGACAAATATCTTTATAAAGTTTGAAGACTTACTTCAATGCAAATAAGAGATTAGGATTTCTTTCTAATAAACTTGGATACAACTGCTGTGTTGTTTCAATGGCTTCTCCCATCCTTCCTGCTAAAACCAATTTCTGAATTCCTGTTCATCAAAAAAAACCACACACACAGTCAGCTTAGTTTCATTTAAGAATTAATACACAAAAACATTAAAGATACCAGCAGCATGACCCAGTAGGATTTTTATCAAAAGAAACAGATCAGATTTCCTTAGAAGTTTTCCCCTCAATCAAGCTGCACTTATTCCAAGCATGTCAATATGAGTATTTATGAAACATGCATATTTCTTATGGTCAGCTGCCTCACAAACAGTGAACTGCTTTGCAATGAAAATAGCTCATTTAGAGCAAGATTAGAATATAAAACATTATACTTTAAATTATATTCCATAGCTATATCTTTACAGAAGAAAACACAAGCTACATTCAGTTCAGCAAGGGTGTAATTCTTCCCAAAACAGTCAAGTGCTAGCTAACCCAGAGCTTTTACCTACTGAGAATGGACTTAATACATTTAGCTGAATTTTACCTAGTCAAACTATAACCTTAAGCTCCTGCCCAGGCTTCAACACAACCAACTAAAAAAAACCTGAGCTACTGTATTTACTCAAATACAAGAGATCACCCTGAATTTAAGTTATAACCCTCAATAATTAGTTTCTATATATGGACACTTTATAAACTTGTTATAAATTTTCAAGGTATAGAACCTATCATTGGAGTATGGTCTTAAATCCACCCCACTACTGCTACAGCAGGGAAAAGAGTGGCTGGGGAGGGCAGGCAGCCCCATTACTGTTTGCCCTCTCACTTCTTCCCCCTGCAGCCTTCCTGCCCAGTACCACCTGCACCCGCTCCAGTCTCTGCCTCTTCTCCCCCTGCTTCCCATAATCTCTGCTTCTTCCCCCCACCCCTACAGTCAGACACTGCTCAGGCTCTGTTCCCTGCTGGGTCATGGAGCACAGCCCTTGCTGGGCCATGCACCAGCAGCAGCACTCCTCATTGGCCAGGCAGGAGACAGAGTTTCCTTGTACTCCATGCCTGGGAAGGAATCCAGCCTGAGCCAGAGCTGCGCTGCGCCTGACAGTAAGGAGGGGTGCAGAGGGGGAAGAAGCTGCAGATGGCAAGCAGCAGTGGGATCGGGAGGTGGCCTTGAGTATGGACTCTGGTCCTAGCCCAGACTGCGAGCCAGAGTCAGAACTGCAGCAGACACCTGCTCCCCCCACCCCCAAAGCTTTCTATGTGAATTTCAGATGAGGGGCTGATTAGGGGAGATAACATCTCATCTGAGATTCAAGTAAATATGGTAATAGTATTGACCCGTCTCCAATTCTTGGCCTCAGACTGCATCTAAACCAGTAGATATTTTAGATCAGGCTTGGCTACTCAGCCCCTTTTCTTACTTGGGAGAAAATTTCAAGGTACGAGTAGACTACAGTTTGTGGTCCTAGTCTTAATTGGGCAATTATAAATTAACTCAGGTTTACTAAAGCTGCTGTAAAAACTAGTCTAGATGCACCAGAAGTGTTTATTCCAGGGCAAGCTACAAATTGTATCCTTCTACTGGGTCCACATCACTGCTAGGGAGTTGGGCTTGAGTCATGCTCTGTGCCCCAGGCTGCAGCAGGGATACAGCCTACTAGCATGCAGCAAAGGCTGGGCAGAGAGGTGGGGTATTTCAGACATACAGGAGATGAGAGGAAGGAGGGGCAGGGGGAATTGGGACAGCTTGAGGCTGCGGAGGGTGGGGGAGACCAGCACAAAGTGTTGGGGGCAGGAGCAACCTAGCTGCCTGCCCCCCCAGTATTGTCCACACGCTGTCTCCCACCACCTGTC